CCGAGAAAACTTGAGAAATTGTCGGCCTATATCTTATATAAATTATGTAAACTAAGGCTACGTTTCTTTAGGAAAATCCAAGATTGGATTCTTAAATCCGAAAACGGATTTGACGTTCCTTTATTAAACAGATCAATCCAAGATCACTCGGATCATGGTGCATCAAAGGAACCGAAGAATCACTACCCAGAGTGGATTCTTGAGTCCATATGTGCAACATTTGCAAATAAGGAAATTACTGAGTCCCGAGGGTACCAAAACTCTTGTCCATGCAATCGTCTCTTCTCACTTGGATGACTGCAATTCTCGTCTAAATGGTGTCCCTAATTACCAATCTGATCGTCTTCAGAAAGTACAAAATGCCGCTGCTAGACCAATTGTTGGCCTATCCAAATTTGATCAAATCTTCTCTGCATTGTATGGCCTGCACTGGCTTCCTGTGATTTATCGTGTTCGGTTTAAACCGTTACTCCTTGTTTACAAGGCTCCTAATAATCAAGCACCTGATTGTACAAAGGACTTTTTATACATAAAGACTAACGCAACTTATCGCCTGCGCTCCCAAAACCATAACCTCCTCGCTGTTCCCAGAACCAAACACAGGACATTTGGTGATCGCGCCTTTGCCATGTTTGCACACTCTGGGCCTTTTCTCTGGAACAAACTTCCTCGTAAAATAAGACTAAGTCCAACCCTGACTGTTTTTAAATCAAAGTTCAAATCTTGTTTTCTTTAAATTAGTCTATGGCACGCCATAGTCTTATAATATGTAATTATATACAGTAATTTTAGCGCTATATAAATCTAATCTTATTATTATCATTATCATTATCGTTATCATTATCATTATTATTATCATTACCATTACCAATATCATTATCATTATCATTGTCATTATCATCATCATCATCATCATTATTATTATTATTATTATTATCGTATCTATAGCGAAATTCTCGATGGTGATTTGTTCTCCGTGCGCCTTTTTGCCACGTAATCGGCGCGCGATCAGGTGGATGTCCAATTACAGGTATCCAATTTGAACACCTGTAATTGGATACCCACGTGATTTGCACGTCAATTGCGTGCGCTTTAATGGCTTTCTTTGCAATGATTCCTACAGTTCTCAAAACTTAATTATGAAACGGGCTACATACGTTTTCGCTCAAAAGAAGTTCTCAAACGACATTTTTAATTCCGAAATTTGTTATACATACGATTAATTAGTAATTGGACCTCGTGTCGTACAATTCAGGGAGTAGTCGGGCTTGTAATTTCAAATCGGCCTAGCGCTTCGCGCTCGACCGATTTTGAAATTACTCGCGCGATTACTCCCTGAATTGTACTTCACTCGGTCCAATTACTATTACTTATTATTATTATTATTATTATTATTGTTATTATTTGTGCACAGTATTTGGGGCGGTCGAGGACGAAGAACAAAGCAAACGTTACATGGGTATCTTCATCATCATGTTCCGTTTAAAGTCGCGCCGGGTACAGTTTAAATATTTTTTAAACTAATGCTTGTAACTATAAAAGTCTTCAACCGAGAAACTCCAAATCTGATGATAATCAGGCACAATTTGATATGACATGTAACTGGTAACGAATCTTGATGTTTCCTTGGAAACCAATTTTTTTTTGCTTTTTTGTGAAAGTTATACAACTATTTTTT